GAGAGCTCTGCTATCTCCATGTGTGGCCCCGGGCTCCAAGGGCAGGGCTGCTGCTCCCGTACGCCCTTGGGTGCATAAAGTTTGCAGCCAGTGAGACTGCAAGGTAAGGGCTAGTCCAAATGGACTGAAGGAGGTTTAAAGAAGGAAGGAGCACTCCAGGACAAGGTTGGATATGACTCTCCTTTCCCCTGGTGTGATGAATTCTGATGATTTTTCTTGTGTTTCTCCTCACAGGAGCTGCAGAGGAGCAGATGCCTGGATAAGGATCATCTCAGTGCCTCAGGCTGCCACGGTCCCAAGCTGTCCTTGAGGCTGAGGTAGTAGATTGAATAGTTGTGGAGTCTGGTCCTCCCTTTGAGCTAACTATACAATCTACTGTCTTTCCTAAGGAGACAGTCAGGTCTTCAGGTCTCATCATCTACACCAAGTTCTCATCATCTACTTCTACACCCAGCATGGAGGCAGGTGGTGCAAGGAAAGCAAATCTGTGAATCTGCAGCGTCCCTGAGTCGGGCCAGACCTCCGTTCTGCTCTGTGGAGGTGAGGTAGTAGGTTGTATAGTTTGGTGGGAGGGATTTGATCCCATTTCAGGTGATAACTATACAGTCTATTGCCTTCCTTAAAGAGCAGCAAAAACGCTGGAGGAGCTCCCGAGGCATCGCTTCTTTCTGTTGAGGATCCTAAAACACAGCGTGGCACTGTTGAACAGCTCAGTGGGTCTTCTCTTACAGCAGCCAGGATTGCATTCTTCCAGGAACTGCTCCGTGCCTCAGGCACGTGAGCATGGAGGCACCTGCTTACAAACCCACCTCTGTTTAATGGCTGCAGGAGAAACCGTGAAGTGGGTCTGTGCATCAGCTCCTGGTGTTCAGTTCTACTCCCTTTCTGCAGGAGATGAGCTCCAGTTGTGAAGTGTTTAAATCTGTTGTTCTTTTCTGGTCTGTCAGGGCTGGAGGGGAGCAAATGGGACAGATTTGAGCTCACGACTTAAGTTGGTTTCACCCAATTCTGAAGTTTGGGTTAAGAACTAAACCCAAGGGCAAGCTTAGCCTGTGGACTCAGAGCCCCGGGAGCTGAGCAGATCTGGCTGCTTGGCCCCTGCTCAGGAAGTGCATTTTGTTTTGGACAAGTTCCCAGTTGTCCCATGGTATGGAGTTACAGGGTGGTTCTTTGTGATCTGATAATTCCTATCAACATAACTCACTGACATGCAAACCCTGGCAAGGAGGTTTGGGCTCCTGGGTATTTACACAGGATAAGCCAACGATTCAGACTAAAAACTTGTCCTAAAGTGAGACAAATAAGGAAGAGACATGAGCCAAAGGGAGCGAGTCCTAATCTTTCTGGGTTCTCCCAGGCAGGTAGCACGTCTGACAACAGACATGTGAGAAGAGGTCACGCTTCAGAGCTCTGGCCCTTGGCAAGGAACAGGGAATTGTTAATTCCTCTCTTTCTTAGGAGCAGATGGGACTATCCCTCTGCCGTTTTCCAAAGTAAGCAGGATCAAGATCATGAGTGGAGCTGTAACACGATCAGGGCTGCACCAGTTCTACAAGACCAAAGGATATTTCAGGCCATTATCAGAACCATCTCACTGCCAGGGAGACACGTGAGACCCGAGACACCCGGGAGCGAGGGCGAGCAGAGGACACCTTCTCAGATGAAGTGGGAGGGAGGGAGCTGCAAAGAGAAATGGGAGCCCTCAAATTTCACCCTGAGCAAACACACAGGGACAGCCAGACCTGACTGCTTGGGGCTGTGGGACTCCCCAGAATGAAGCAGCTCGTTTAAGGCTCCTCTGCTGGGATGGGGTGTAGCTGCAGCGAGGCTGGGACACAGCTGGTGGGTGGGGATGCTGCAGTGTGTAGCAGGGAAGGAATGCAGCCCTCTCTCCATAAATCTGGCTTTTCGGCACTCCTGGAGACTTGCTGTGCAAAACTACAGCTTGGTCCTCTTAGCTGCATTGCTATCCTCTGGCTGCTTGCTAAGGGGCAGAGCTCCTGCCCACAAATTGCTTGGAAGGTGCCAATATAGCACCACAAGCATGGGAACAGAGTGGCATATCCACTTCATATTTAAGAACTAAATCCCTCAAAAAGAACTAATCCTGTGTGTCCCAGGTGGAATCAGCTCAGTCCCCCTCCATGGCATCGATGTTAATGCAGAGAATCTCAAGCAGTGAAACTGTGAGCTGGAAGCCATGAATAAAATATTACTGGAGATACTCTCTTGTGAAAATAAACTTGGTTTGATTTGTTTAAAACAGTGTCTTTATTGCCTTGAAGTCAGCTTGGCTGGGGAATTGGGACCTCCAGAGGGGTGGCTGCTGTTCCTGCCTGGCCAAAACCCTGAGCATGAAAGGGAAGCCACAGCCAGGACACGATGAGGATGTGGGGCAGACTGGGTTGGCCAAGCAGCTGAGACCATGTGTTTTAACTGGCAGGAAGGGCTTTCTTGAGGCAATACAAATTCTACATGAAGCTTCAACCTGCTCCTTCACCCTCAATCAGCTCAAGGGCTGCAGGTTGGGCTTCTCTCTGCCCTAAATAGTCCTTCCTATAAGCATGTTTATAATGGATACAGCATCAGGAGAACACAGGGACTTCCAGGGTCCACTGACCCCAACTAGGGCTCAGAAAGCAGCCCAGGCAACATTTAATTTCTCCAGTGCTTCCTGGCACAAGGGGAAGGGCAGCCTCTGCCCGGGAGGGCAGTGAACAGGCTGGCCAAGCTTATATTCAGTGGATATCTGGGACTCCCACCTGACTCACTGGCCAGGATCCCACAGCACATCTTGGTGGGGCAGCAACACCATCCCTGACCATTGGCACAGAGCGACAGACACTTTCTTTTAGGAGAAAGCAGCCAGGAAGCAACATGAAGAAAGGTGAGTTCCCTCCAGGACACTGTGGGAGGAAAGCACTTTCAGCACAAATACTCCAAGGGAATATTTGGCAACTCGATGGATCTACCAGCATCATGACCCCAGATGCAAATCCCCCAGGACAGTGTATGTGTTCACCTCAACCCTTCCAACCCACCATGTTCAGGGGAGGCTTCAGGAGCTGAAGCCAAGAAACCTCCTGTCACTCAACCAGCAGCAGAGACGTCCCTGTCCCTGCTGGGAACAGGCCCCAGGGGTGGAAAGAACCAAGCAGGTGGGGCTCACACAGCAGCCAGACCACATAAACACCAAAAAATCGCATGATTTTAACCCAACTCACCCCAACTGATGGTTGGTACCCTCTCCTCCTCCCACCACACATGGCTGTGGGGCTGTAGGGACCTGGCAGCATCTTTGCCAAGGTCACCCCAATACCAGGGGTGCCAACACCAGAAATGGAGTAGAAATGCTGTTAAAGCCTCCCTTGAACGTTTTGTGTCCTCCCCTGTGCTCCACACCAAACCCTGCCCCTGCCTAGGCCCCCTAATTTAGGATTAAACCAATCCCCCCCTAATGCCTGTGTGAGAAGGGCTCAGCCCCGCTGTCCTGGGGTGCAAGGGGAAGAGGAAAGCAGATTTCCTCCTGGTTTGGAGTTTTCTGCTACAAGGAACTCTATAAATAGGTCCTTGCACAACAGCATGTCTCCAGAAGTCAAAACCTTAAGGAAAACCAAATTCAACAGTTTTCACAAGGTTCTCTAGCCCCAAAATAATGATAAAATACTCAAATCCTAAAATTATTTTGGAGGCTGTTAATTAGCAGCACCTCAGCGGGGAAGGGAGGGGGGGTGGGGACGGTTCCAGCACTGCAAAAAATCAGGTGTAGCCCAAGTGCCCTGATTTTGCTGGGAGGAGAAATGCTTTTCTGCTCTTTGGATTCTTTGTAGGGAATTCACCCTACGTTCTCCTCCACCCAGATGCAAAACCAGAACCAGTGGTTCTGAAATGCACTCCCAGCTCCAGCCCCTCAGCCCTCAGCCCAGGGGAACAGCAGCTGCTCTGGCTGCACTTTTCTCATGTGTCCATAGCCCCCGGATGGATTTTTCCCCCCAGAGCAGCTGGGCAGCAGGAGCTCAGCCTGCCCCGAGAACGCGCAGCAGCCGCGGCACCTGGGCAGGAGGTTCTTTTTAATCTGATTCTTAACCCCGTGTGAAGCTGGCGATTAAATAAAGCTCGGCGCTGCCGGCAGGGATCCGTGCGGTGAATTCCGAGCTGCCCAGTTCTCAGTGGTGTCTCTCCCAGTGCCATCTGCCGGTCACTGCCTGGCTGGGCCGGCCGCGACCGTGACCTCAAAACACCCCTCGGGCAGCTGCTGCCCTGCAGGAGAGCTGGTGCTGCTGGGCTCCTGCAGCAGGGATCCGGGGGAAGGGAAATGTGGAGCTGCAGGGCAGCTTTGCCGGGAAATGCAGGGGCAGGACGATGGGGGGAAAGCAAAAAGCCGAGGTCGGAGACCAGCGCTGCTCCTGCGCTGCGAGTTCCTGCCCCACAAAGCCCTTTCCCCACATGCTGCTCCCAGATGGATGTCCTGAAGTGGAAATGCTGCAGAAACACGGGGTCTGGGGACACACATTTGTACTTCACTTCTTTCTGTGCTGCAAGGATGGAATTGTGTGTGTTTAGGGCGTGAGAGGCTGGTGCTGAGCTTCCTAAAACAGGGAGCCAGAAGCGATCCAGCTGAAGTTTTGATTGTTTGGGTTTTTTTCTTGCTCTGAGCTCTCTCTTGCTTTCCTTGCCCAAAAATTCCTGGTGGGGACACATTTTTGCTTTGCACTCAGCTGGGTGCCCAGGGAAAATTCCCTACGTCATCCTGAATCCCCATGTCACTCTCAAACCCCTCCTCCTGCTGCTTTTAGATGGGTTTAAAAAAACTAAGTTACACCCTTAGGAAAGCAGCACCTGGATGCTTTTGGAAAGCCAAAAAACTCCTTCAGCACCCCCAGAAGTCACGTTGGTTTTTAGGAATTCTCCCTGAGCACACAGCCAGGAGCATTTTACAGGTAAAACAAGTGGCTCCCAGGCCTTCAGATCCCGCAGCAAGACACTGCACACCCCACACAGACTTTAACAAAAGGATTTATTCAGTGCACAGGACAGAGCAGCAGGTGGGAGGATATGAACAATGCAGGTCATCCTCCACCTCACCTGTGTAAGAAATCAAAGGATGCAATCACCAGAGAAGGGACTGTATCTTCCAGTTATCTTCCTCCCACCAGTCTGGAAAGCTTGTCACATATTTAACACACCTGACTGGGAATCCTCAGGTGAAGGGAGATGTGGGATAACAAAACACAGTGTCTCAGATAAGGACAGTGGTTCTGCAACAAGTCCTGGAGCCGCTAATGACCTGTAACATCATCACTTGGCTCTCTTGAGCTCAGATTGTACCGACTCGTGTGGTGACTTTTTTCTCCTGGACCAGGTTCCACCACACACAGATTATATGTCAAGAGGAATCTGTACCTAAATTCAAATACACGGAAATTATGCAAAGAAAGAAGCCATGCAAGGGAAAGCTGTATGAAGGAGATGGTGGCTCCTCTCAGGGCTCAAGGTTTCTCTTCTGTGCGTGCACAAAGGTGAAGGCACAGGCGTAAAATAAAGCTGTGGCAATGGATAATGGCAATAACTGAGGAGTGGGACAGGGGGCAGAGACAGGAGAGAGGGAAGAGGCAAGGGCTGCAGAGGTGTGAGGAGCAGTAGGGAGAATATCTGGCCAAAGCTACACCAGAACCAGGAGGGAAACGGGAAAATAAAAAATCCTCTCTTTGGACAAAAAGGGAAAGAGATGAAACTTGCCCAAATCTGAGACAAACAGACACACTGGGAAGGGAAAAGAGCATTTTTGCTGGAGGCTCATCCTGACAAACAGCAGAAAACACCAAAGCCAACCACCATGTTTCATCTACAAACACCAAAGCCAACCACCACGTCTCTTTTTGCCGCGTGGGTCCTGCTGTCCCTGGGGACACGGTGCGGCGGGGCCTGCCGGCCACACGGCTGGGGGACAGCTCACCACTCCCACCTTGCAAATGGAACAGAAGCCCAGGCTGGCCAGGAAGAAAGGAGAAGTGTCCGAGGTCACCAGTGTTATGGCAGACACCCTCCTGCCCTTGGCTTTCCTCAGGAAGGGGACCAAGTTCCCACGGGGTTGCCACTGCCCGGGGCTGGAGCAGATAAGGCAGCGTAAGAAGGGAGGTGTCAGCCCGAACTGTCTGAGGGGTCTCCTGAGCCCAGCAGGGTTGTGGAACAACCAGTGCTGAAGAAAGCCTTGGTGACTGGAGCAGGGAGAGCTGAGAAAGACCATTCAAAGCAGAAGGCCCACCAGGATGGCACTGGGGAGGAGGAAGAGTGAAAGCCCTGAGCAGGTACTGGTGGTTCCAGACATGGGCTGATCCACGTTTGTCTGTTCCGAGTCTGTCTCCATTTCTTTAGTGTCTGTCTCCATTTCTTCAGTGTCCAGGGCACCTGCTGAAAGAAGAGAAGAAAACATGGAGTTAGAGGGGAAGACCTGGACAGAAGAGGAACTCCCACTCATGCAGGTCTGTCAGTGATGTGCCCCGAGGCACCGCGGGGCAGCAGAGCTCCGGTCCAGGGGAGGCGTGACAGCCCGTGGGTTAGTGGGAGCAGGCTGCAAACAAGACCATGCTTCAGGGGCCAGACATCCAACCAGCCCCTCAGTGTTAGAGGAAAGAGTGAGGAAAAGGCCACGTATGAGAGGGGGATCCAAAGGACCAGTCTGACACTGTTCCTCCCAAGCCCTCTCCATGCTGCTTGGGGATCACTGCATGTCCGAGTGTCCGTGCCAGCACAGACCCCACGGATACCTTACCTGACAGGGAGGTCTGGAAATGGGGGCTCTGCCCTTTTCTTTCTTTGGAGGATGATGTTAAGCGCAAGAAGGTGGGCTCTTCAGGGCTGAGGACCACTGACTTTGAGGGGGTTATGAGCTCAGCTCTATTGAAACCTAACTTGATCCCTGGAACAACTTGGCTGAGGGACGGAGGTGGACTGGAAAAGGCTGATTTCTCTTTCCCATCCTCTTTGACACCTTTCTTTGTTTCTGGGGCTGATCTGGGGCTGAAGGCTGTGCCCCTGCTTTCTAATAAGGCTGGATTCTCTGTAGTGAAGGAGCTAACAGGCTCTCCAGTGTCTGCCTCTGGAGATACTTTATAATCCGGGTCTAACGTGGGCTCAGAGGAAAGAGCGAGCCCGGTTGCCTCAGAAGGATCAGGTCTTTCTGGTTCTGGCTTTGTGGTAGTGGCAGCTTTTGGTTGTGCCTTTGCTGTTGTGGCAGGTGTTGGTGTTGTAGCAGCAGGTGTTGGCTTGGCTGTAGTGGTGGTAGATTTTGGTGTAGCAGCAGGTGTTGGTTTGGATTGTGTGGTGGGTGTTGGCCTGGCTGTGGCTGTACCAGGTTTTGACGTAGCCAAAGCTGGAGTGGGTTTTGATGTGGTGGGTGTTGGTTTGGTCATAGCTGTGGTTGGTTTTGGCTTGGCTGTAGTGGTGGTTGTGGTGGGGTTTGGTGTGGTGGGTGTTGGTTTGGTCATAGCTGTGGTTGGTTTTGGCTTGGCTGTAGTGGTGGTTGTGGTGGGGTTTGGTGTGGTGGGTGTTGGTTTGGCCATTGTGGTGGTTGTAGTGGGTGATGTCTTGATGGTAGTGGTGGTTATGGTGGGTTCTGGCTTGGCTGTAGTGGTGGTTGTGGTGGGTTTTGGTGTGGTTGGTGTTGACCTGCTGGTAGTGTTGGTTGTTGTGGGTGTTGGCATTGTTTTTGTGGGCATAGCAGTGGTTGTGGTGGGTTTTGGTGTGGTGGGTGTTGGTTTGGCCATCATGATGGTTGTAGTGGGTGATGGCTTGGCTGTAGTGGTTGTTATGGTGGGTTTTGGTGTGGTTGGTGTTGACCTGCTGGTAGTGTTGGTTGTGGTGTGTTTTGGCATTGTTTTTGTGGGCATAGTGGTTGTTGTGGTGGGTTTTGGCGTGGTGGTTGTTAGCGAGGTGGGCTTTGGCTTGGCTGTAGTGGTGGCTGCTGGCATGGGGGGTTTTGGCTTGGCTGGGGTTGTTGTTGGGAGCGTGGTGGCAGGTTTGGGCTTGGCTGTTGTAATGGGTGCTGCTGTTGGGGGTTTGGGCTTGGCTGTGGTTGGGAGTGTGGGTGTGCGTGGTGGCTTGGCTGTGGTTGTGGTTGGAAGTGCGGTTTTGGGTGATGGTTTGGCTGTGGTGTGTGCTGGTGCTGTGGGTTCTGGTTTGGCTGTGGTGGACACTGGTGTGAGTTCTGTTTTGGCTGTGGCTGTGATGGACTCTGCTGCTGTGGGTTCTGGTTTGGCTGTGGTGTGTACTGGTTTGGCTGTAGGTTCTGGTTTGGCTGTGAGTTCTGGTTTGGCTGTGGTGTGTACTGGTGCTGTGGGTTCTGGTTTGGCTGTGGTGTGTACTGGTTTGGCTGTGGGTTCTGATTTGACTGTAGGTTCTGGTTTGGCTGTGGGTGATGGTTTGGCTGTGGTGTGTACTGGTTTGGCTGTGGGTTCTGATTTGGCTGTAGGTTCTGGTTTGGCTGTGGGTTCTGGTTTGGCTGTGGGTTCTGGTTTGGCTGTGGTGTGTTCTGGTTTGGCTGTGGTGTGTAGTGGTTTGGCTGTGGGTTCTGGTTTGGCTGTGGGTTCTGGTTTGGCTGTGGTGTGTACTGGTTTGGCTGTAGTGTGTGCTGGTGCTGTGGGTTCTGTTTTGGCTGTGGCTGTGGGTTTTGGCAGGGCTGTGGTTGGGGTGGATGGCCTTGCCTTTGTTGTCACAGAGGCCGGAGTGGTCTCTTCTACAACGAGTTCTGGTAAGAGATGAAAAGTGCCGTGGGTTAGACTGGCTCAGCTGACTCAGTGGATCCCCTGCACTGAGCAGGACCAGCACAAACCAGTGAGGGGATGAAGAAGCAGCAGCCAACCCCTCTCTGGTCACTCTGGGCCATCCCCCACTCTGGGGTTGCCAACCTGGAGACACCTCATCTCCCTCACACAATGCCTTGCCCTGCAAGGGGCAAAAAGTGCTGCCTAAGGGGATACAAGGCCCTTGTCCAATTCTCCTCATCCTGAGGCAGCTGACCTGTCTTAGGAGCAGCCATTGCTCCTGAGCTCTCATGGTCCAGCCTCGGACCTGCTGGCTCAGGGCTTCCTGAAACCTCCAGGAGGGTTCAGAGCTTGGACCCCAACCCAGGGGTTTCAGTCCCAACAGCCCCTCAAGGGACACGCGCGGCTTCGCTCACTCACCACACAGGTTGTTCACACAGACTGTGCCCTCGGGACACGTCGAACACGGGGGTCCTTCCCAGTATGGCTTTTTCCCTTTCACATTACCCCTGGAAGCAGAAGATGCCAAGAAAAAGCAGGCGTGAGGAAAAGGGAAACGCCCACCCTGAAGAGGGGTCTGATTCAGCTGGGATATCCCAGCCAAGGCAAAACTCAGGATTAATGTAACAAACAGGTCATGGTCTCCTGCCACGGACTGTCAGTGCCATTTACTCAACAGCCTGAGCCCAAGGCTGCTAAAGCCAGGGGACACAGCTCCATGGACCAGATCCTTCACTCCCCTTAGAACAAAGGCCTTCTTTGGAACCACTTTGCTTCTATTTCTGACCAAGGCCAACCCTGCTCTGATATCAGGACAGGAGGAAGGACATTTCCAGCACAGAAACCCCACAGAGATGCACCAAGCCATGCCAGGCCTGGGACTTACGCGGGATAATAGTTGCAAACCAGCAGGTGCATGTTCTCTGTTTCGATTCCTTCGATCTTCTCACAGAACTTTGCCCCGCAGCCAATCTGTTTTGTGTCTGACCAGACCACCTAAGGCAAAGACCAGGGTGAAGGTGAGGGGAGTGGGTGAAGGCAACCTGTCCCCTGGCTTTGAAGGCTGCTCTGTGACTACACCAATCTTAGTGTGTGCCCCAGATCCCACATCCCCATGTTGCTTTGGCATTCAGGATCCACCACCATCTCTGCTCCTCCTTGCACCCACCCAAGCTGTGAAGAAACCTCATCTCTCTGCCCAAGACAAGCTGGCACCCAGCTCTGCTGAGCAGCCATCCTTCCCCCCCAGGAGCTGGTACCTGGGTATAGTGGCCACACATCTGCCCAGGGACACACGTGGATGTTGTGAAGTTGTAGAATTTCTCCTCCCCGTTCCAGTCTTCCACAGCAAATTCTAGTTCCAGCATTGGGGCCATAGCAAAGAGGTTTTCCCCCCGTCGGCCCCTCTCCTTGTTGTGGTCCCAGATGCACTTCTCTGCGTAGGATTGAGCAAGGCTCTCCAGCTCCTTGTCCCAGGTCTGAAAGCAGCTTGGCATCAGCACAGAGAAATGGACACCAGGCTCCCAGTGCTACCCAACACAGTCCTCAGGGGAGGGGAGCTCCATGGTCAGACCCAGCACAACCCAAACCTTGGCTTACAGGTCAAACAGGAGAAGGTCAGTGCATCACCATGACCCTCACAGCCTCTCCTGAAGCACATCCAACATCATCACGGAGCATCCTCAGCTCAGCGAGGAGAAACGTGAAGTCGGGTGGAGGAAAGGAGGAAACCCACCCCGGGTCACGCCAGAGGGGGCCTGGGGATGTCCCTCCCTGCCCAGGGTGGGGTGGGAGGAGAGCAGGACACATCTCCCCTACCAGCTGTACAAAACCCAGGCACACACGCTCCTGGGAAACATCATGTTTTTGCCTGGATCCGAGACATTCCCGGCTGGGCGCCTGCCAGGAGCCCCCTCCGGAGCGGCAGCAGCCCCGCCACCAGCTGAGCCCCCTTGGCCACATTGATATGCAGGAGAAGGAGGAGGAGGAGGAGAGGTCTCCCTGCAGGGATGCACACGAGGAATCCTACACCGCAGCTGTTTGGACCATCCCTGAGCCATTTGATGGAGGAGCAGCTTTGAGCTGGAAGGCAGCCCAGCAAACAGGGGGTCCTAAGGGGGGACCTTCCCAGCTGGAGCCAGGGCTGGATCCAAAGGGGGACAGAGCATGGCCCTCATGCAGGGCATGTCACCATCGGGGTGTTGAGGGCACTGGGAGGGAAGGAAGCACCTGGATGGGGACTGGGGGTGTTGGATCACCTCCCACCATGGCCCCAGCCAGGCTGGGAGCGGCGGCTGGAGACCCAGTGTGGGGAGCGCACACCCCCCTCCCTCTGGCACCGAGCTGGGCTCCATAAACTGGCGACTTGCACCTGCAGATTTGCCTCATTAGAAACGGAATTGGCTTTAGGCTGCATATCCCCCCCAGTGCCTGAACATTTCCACGGCAACCAGCCCGTGTCCCAGGAGGAAGCGCGGGGTGACCTCAGCCAGGCGCGGTGCCACGGCAGCAGGTGAGCCCGGGGGCAAAGCCAGCCCAGGCAAACACCCCAGGAGGGAGGCAGGGATGGCTCTCACGGAAAACCTCTACCAAGGAATTGTCAGGGCTGCTGTAAGCTAAACATTTTTTGTGCTCCAAAGAAAACCAACCCCCAAGCGTTTGGCTCCAGACCACGAGCGGGTCCTGGGCGTTTAAGCAGAGGCAAAGCAGCGCTGCCGGGGGAGCATCTCAAAGCACAGGGGCTGCAATCAAAGCCTCAGCAGGGAGCAGCCGTCACAGGTTTGGAATTGCACTGACTTAAAGACCCTGAGAGATCCTTTTCCTCAGGCTTTCTGTAAGACTTTGGCTCCAAAGCCCTGATACTCCAAGTTTTCTGTGCCTGGCCTGGTGGGTTCCACAGGATTATGGTCCTTAATATTCTGGCTCTGTCCCCGTTGAGTCTGAAGCCATAGTCAGACCTCCTCCCCCGAATTTAGCTTTTTGCTACAATTTACCAGCCCACAAAGGTTTTACTCCACCTGGGCAACCTTTGGGCCAGACAGGGAGGTCTCCTCCAAGCACAAGGGGACCCAAAGAGGAAAGGACTCCAACTATCCATGGTAAACAGTTGTCCTTCTCCACGTGATTTGCAGAGAGTGAGGAAAAATCACCTAGTGCAGGAGTTAATCAAATCAGGAGCCCAAAGAAGACAAAAAGTAGCACCAGCTCCAGAGCTCATTTTCCCTTCCACTGCAGCCACAGGTGCTGTGGGACATGATTTGGCTTTCTGGAGCAAAATAGGAGATCCTTCACCTTCAAGACACCAAGTCATGGTGAGGATTAGGAATGTGATGAACAGCCCAAATCCCTGAAAAACCTGACTGACATGTTTGAAGTTGACGGTCCCTCCTATAGATAAAAGCTTCTTCAAATGCAAAGGCAAATACAAAGCACCAGATGATGCCCCACACAGCAGGATTCCCCCTCCAGCTCCTGCAAATGGCCATGGCAACGTCTCCAGCTCATGGCACCTGCTCATGGCAAGGTCTCACCTGCCCTTCCTCCTCATCACAAGGAGCTCCAGCACATCCAGATGAGCACAAGCTGCACCACTCATGCAGAGCATCAGGGGACTCAGATCACACTTAAAAACTTCCAGAAATTCTCAAAGATAATTCTGTAGTTCAAGGAAACTCATCTCTTTAGAGCCAATTTAGGGAATCCCCCACTGGCACCTACTTGTAACCCTACATGACAATTGCTCTGCCTCCCCTGAGGAACACCCTGATCCCTCCCAGCATTGAGATCAAGGCTTGCACCACACAAACACCCCGAGATTCCTCTGCAATAAGAGCCACTTACCAACTTCATCATAGCCCTGGCAGGAGGAGAGACCTGGGAGCGGTATCTATTATGCTCATCCAGGATTATCTTCTTTTCTTCCTCACTCAGGGACCAGCTCAGCTCCAGCACTGTGAGCACCAGGAAAACAGGAGGAAGACCCGAGCTCAGCATCGTGCAGTCGGCTTCTGCTCTTAGCAGCCCACGGCTCTGGCAGTCACATTTAAAGCACCTCCCAAAAGCAAGGAACACCCAACAGCTTCAAGATTGGGGAGGAAATGTATTTATTAGAGTTTTGGAGCCATGCAGAACACACCCATCTCACATATCGGCCTGGATGGAGAGGCAGCACCGTGGCCGGTGCCAGCGAACGCGCGGGGTCCACTCCCTGGGACAGACCCTGTGCCTGAATCCTAATCCCTGGATCAGCATTCTTCATCCAAGCCTCTGCTGCTCCAAACCCCAGCCATTCCCTGAGCCCTCAGTTATGGGTCGTCTCCTCTACCTCCTGTCCCTTTTCTCCCAGTCTATAACAACGATCCCACAGCAGCCAGCAAACCCCTGTTTTCACCCGGGTCCTCCCCCATCCCTGGAATGCAGCTGCGTTAGAAATGAAGGCAACAAGAGGCAACTGCTGAGAGACTTTGCAGCACAGGAACTCCCCAGGCAGGGTCAGAGCCCACCTTGTCCCCAGATCTGTGTGGGGGGGACAGCAATGGCAGCTGAGGAACAGGCCCCCAGGGCTGGGAATGAGGGGTAAGCAGAGGGTTGATGCCCCTTTCCTGGGCCGGGCTCAGGGCTGGAATAATAAAAATCCGGGCTGGCTGGAATAACCAGACCCTTGGCTGTGCAGGGACAGGCTCTGCTCCCTCCCACAGACACCTGGAGGGCCCAACATCGGGGGTCCTGGAGCCCCCAGCTCTGCCTGTCTGGCAGAGCCCCCCCGGCTGCTGCAGCCTCGGCTCCCCATCTGTGATTGTGCAACCACCCGGCTCGGCTCCAGGGGCTCCTCTGGGATCACAGGCTGTTAGAAAGGATCAGCGGGTGGGCAGCTCTGGTCAGCACAGCCAAGTTAATCACACGCTGCCGGCTCTGCCTCCCCCTCTCCCCTCCCGGCTCCCCAGACAGTGCTTTGCCATTTTTCCTCTTGTTTTGGGCCACACTGATCACCTCTCTCACCACCACAGCTCTCCTACTGCCCCCCAAATCTCTGATCTCTCTGTATTACCTTCTCCTCCCTTAGGTCTGGGGTCTGCCATACCCTCAATACCCCAACAATTCCTGCAAGCAGGGTTTGAGGCCAACATCTCACCAGGCTTCAACTCAGCTGGTCAAACCAGAGGTTCCCATTTCTTGCTAAGGCAAATCCATCTCAGAGACACCTCAACAGCCTTGCTCCATAGACCTGGAGAAACATCCAGAAGGGATCAACACAAGCCCCAGCTCCTGCTGGCCAGCTCACCGTGGCCTGGCTGATGAGGAACAAGGCGGTGCTGAGGATCCCAGAATGGTTTGGATTGGAAGTGACCTTAAAGCTCATCTCATTCCAACCCCCTGCCATGGACAGGGACACCTTCCACTAGACCAGTGCAGGTGCTGGTCTCTGCAAACGATGTGGAGATGCAGGGCCAGGCTCCACGTAGCCCCTGGCCCTACAATGTCCTGGCTGTCTTGCAGGAGAGAGTATGGCAACAAGGATAAAGGAAAATGGGATGCCCAGAGCTTGTGGGGAAGAGCAAACAGCCCTGGAGGAGTCACCACCAGGGCATGTGGCTCGTGGGGAAACGTGAGTAACAGCTGATGCATCGGCAAGGGCAGGGCAGCTGCTGCTAAAAGGGTGCAGGGACATCTCTCAACTCCAAACCTGCTCTGACAGCTCTGTCTGGAGCCAATGTCTGAAGCATCAAGATTAGCAGTGCAAGGCCCAAGCCCCACCCTGGAGCTGACACACTCCTGTCCAGCCGGCATTAGGTAAGTGTGTGTGGAATGCAGGAACAGCCCGTCCACCACACCCCGGGGACCCTCTGCACAGGGACAGGAGCCACACACCGACACCTGACAGGGGCTGCTCATGGCTGGTGGCTCCAGAGAGGCCCCACTCTGTAGTAATCAAGCCTGGTTTTCTACTGACTCACATCCTGAGGGTCTTGAACATGGCTGGTTGGTGTCTAACAAGGCTCATGCACTGGCTTGGTAGGAACAGGATGTTTCTCTTCCCTACTCACCCACTTTTATGAGCTCTGGAGGAGTTTATTGTCTTCCACACTATTCATTCATCCATTCTATGATTCTGTGACTTTAAAACACTGGGACACACATGTTGACTGGGAACCCCTGTGAGCTGGGCAGGGTGGGAGTGGGGGATTGTCTGAACCAGCACAGCGAGTGCCAAAGGGCAGCTGAGGCGAGGGAGACCATGGTGGGAGCAGGGGGGACACTTCCAGCACTGCAAAAAATCAGGTGTAGCCCAAGTGCCCTGATTTTGCTGGGAGGAGAAATGCTTTTCTGCTCTTTGGATTCTTTGTAGGGAATTCACCCTACGTTCTCCTCCACCCAGATGCAAAACCAGACGTGGTTTTGCACCAGCTCCAGCCCCTCAGCCCTCAGCCCAGGGGAACAGCAGCTGCTCTGGCTGCACTTTTCTCATGTGTCCATAGCCCCCGGATGGATTTTTCCCCCCAGAGCAGCTGGGCAGCAGGAGCTCAGCCTGCCCCGAGAACGCGCAGCAGCCGCGGCACCTGGGCAGGAGGTTCTTTTTAATCTGATTCTTAACCCCGTGTGAAGCTGGCGATTAAATAAAGCTCGGCGCTGCCGGCAGGGATCCGTGCGGTGCATTCCGAGCTGCCCAGTTCTCAGTGGTGTCTCTCCCAGTGCCATCTGCCGGTCACTGCCTGGCTGGGCCGGCCGCGACCGTGACCTCAAAACACCCCTCGGGCAGCTGCTGCCCTGCAGGAGAGCTGGTGCTGCTGGGCCAGCAGAGCCACCACTGACCTGTAACACCATCACTTGGCTCTCTTGAGCTCAGATTGTACCGACTCACGCGGTGACTTGTTTCTCCTGGACCAGGTTCCACCACACACAGATTATTTGTCAAGTGGGATCTGTATTTAAATTGAATTACACTTCAGTTATACAAAGAAGAAAGAAGAAAGGAAGCCTTGCAAGGGAAAGCTGTGCAAAGGAGATGGTGGCTCCTCTCAGGGCTTAAGGTTTCTCTTCTGTGCGTGCACAAAGGTGAAGGCACAGGTGTAAAATAAAGCTGTGGCAATGGATAATGGCAATAACTGAGGAGTGGGACATGGGGCAGAGACAGGAGAGAGGGAGGAGGCAAGGGCTGCAAGGGTGTGAGGAGCAGCAGGGAGAATATCTGGGTAGTATTGGCCAAAGTTACACCAGAACCAGGAGGGAAATAGAAATCCTCATATTGGATTCTTACTGGACAAAAAGGGAAAGAGATGAAACTTGCCCAAATCTGAGACAAACAGACATATGGAGAGGGGAAGAGAGCATTGTTGCTGGAGGCTCGTCCTGAAAAAACACTAAAGCCAACTACCATGTCTTGTTGCCACTTGGGTTTCCAAGCCATCCTGCTGTCCCTGGGGACACGGTGCGGCGGGGCCTGCCGGCCACACGGCTGGGGGACAGCTCACCACTCCCACCTTGCAAATGGAACAGAAGCCCAGGCTGGCCAGGAAGAAAGGAGAAGTGTCCAATGTCACCAGTGTTATGGCAGACACCCTCCTGCCCTTAGTCTCCTCAGGAAGGCTCGCCAGGGCTGGAGCAGATAAGGCAGCGTAAGAAGGGAGGTGTCAGCCCAAACTGTCTGAGGGGTCTCCTGAGCCCAGCAGGGTTGTGGAACAACCAGTGCTGAAGAAAGCCTTGGTGACTGGAGCAGGGAGAGCTGAGAAAGACCATTCAAAGCAGAAGGCCCACCAGGATGGCACTGGGGAGGAGGAAGAGTGAAAGCCCCGAGCAGGTACTGGCGGCTCCAGTCGTGGGCTGATCTGTCTCCCGTTCTTCAGTGTCCAGGGCAGATGTGAAGGAAGAGGAGAAAACATGAAGTTAGAAGAGAAGATCCTCTATACTGAAGGAGCTAACAGGCTCTTCAGTGTCTACCTCTGCCTGTGGAGATTATAATCCAGGTCTAACATGGGCTCAAAGGAAAGAGTTACCCCGGCTGCCTCAGAAGGATCAGGTCTTTCTGGTTCTGGCTTTGTGGTTGTGGCAGTTTTCAGTTGTGTCTTTGCTGTTGTGGCAGGTGTTGGTGGTGTAGCAACAGGTGTTGGCTTAGCCAGAGTTTTGGTGTATTTTGGTGTGGTGGGTGTTGGCTTGGCTGTAGCTCTGGTGGATTTTGGCTTGGCCATGGTTGTTGTGGCTGCCAGCGTGGTGGCTTCTGGCCTGGTTGGGGTTGCTGTTGGGTGGCAGGTTTTGGCTTGGCTGTTTTGATGGGTACTGGTGTTGGGGGTTTGGGCTTGGCTGTGGTTGTGGTGGGCTCTGATGCTTTGTGTACTGGTCTAGCTGTGGTGGACACTGGTGTTGTGCTGGTCAAGGGGATACAAGGCTCTTGTCCAGTTCTCCTCGTCCTGAGGCAGCTGACCTGTCTTAGGAGCAGCCATTGCTCCTGAGCTCTCATGGTCCAGCCTTGGACCTGCTGGCTCAGGGCTTCCTGAAAACTCCAGGAGGGTTCAGAGCTTGGACCCCAACCCAGGGGGTTCAGTCCCAACAGCCCCTCAAGGGACACGCGCGGCTTCGCTCACTCACCACACAGGTTGTTCACACAGACTGTGCCCTTGGGACACATTGAGCACGGGGGTCCTTTCCAGTAGGGCTTTCGGATACTCCCATTACCCCTGGAAGCAGAAGATGCCAAGAAAAAGAGGGGTGTGATTCAGCTGGGATATCCCAGCCAAGGCAAAACTCAGGATTAATGTAACAAACAGGTCATGGTCTCCTGCCACAGACTGTCAGTGCCATTTACTCAACAGCCTGAGCCCAAGGCTGCTAAAGCCAGGGGACACAGCTCCATGGACCAGATCCTGCACATCCCTTAGAACGAAACACTGGATGGGCACTGGGACAAGTGATTCTGTCTCCCTTCTGCTCAAGACCCCTAAGAAGGTCTGCAGCCACCAGCTGCTCTAAGTTGGTCTCAGCAGCCCCAAGCAAGTGGTCCCAAAGCTGGTCCCAGGGCTGTGAAGGGGGTACCCACTTCTCCCTCCACATCCAACCCTTCCTGCTGGTGCAAAAGGGCTTCTCCACCCCAGGCAACCACTGCTGCCAGCAGGGAAGAACCAGGCCCAGAGCAGGGAGCTGTTTGTACCCTCAGCTACTGCGACTTCACCTTCGGGCAGCTCTCAGGGCAGAAGGTTCCTCCCTGGGTCTGTGCCAGAAGCTGAACCAGACCTCAGCAATCACGGGCAAGGATCGCCAGACAACCCTTCCTTCCTCTGTGACCAACCCAAGATAAGGAAGGCCTTTCTTTGGAACTGCTTTGCTTCCATTTCTGACCAAGGCCAAACTCTGCTCTGATGAAAGGACTGAAGGAAGGACATTTCCAGCACAAAAAAACCCATCAAGATGCAACAATCCATGCAGGATCTGGGACTTACCGGGGAAAATACTTGCAAACCAGCAGGTGCATGTTCTCTGTTTCCTTTCCTTCGATCTTCTCACAAAGCTTTGCCCCACAGCCAATGTGTTCCGTGTCTGCCCAGACCACCTACAGCAAAGACCAGGGGTGAAGGTGAGGGGAGTGAGTGAAGGCAACCTGTCCCCTGGCCTTGAAGGCTGCTTCATACATCCATTCACATAATTACCACAACCATCTCTGCTCCTCCTTGTTCCCACTCAAGCTGTGAAGAAACACCCAGACTTTGTCTCTCTGCCTGAGACAAGCTGGCACCCAGCTTTGCTAAGCAGCTAAAAGAGGGTTTGTTTCAGAAAAAAGGTCTTCTCCCAAAGGCTGGTCATTGCTGGCACCATGCCCAGGTCCCCCTGTATCATTGTGATTCCCACCTGGTTCCCCATCCCTTTGCAAAGACTTTGGGAGGAGCTGGGGCTCTGGTACAGTGCCTTTCCCACCAGCCCCATCCCTCCAGCTCAGCAGCTTGTACCTGTTTGTAGTTGCCACACATCTGCCCAGGGAGACATGTGGATGTTAATAAGTTGTAGAATTTCCTCTCCCCGTTCCATTCTGCCACAGCATGTTTGAGGTCCAGGGCTGGGGCCATAGCAAAGAGGTTTTCCTTGTGTCCGCCACTCTCCTCGTCCTCCCAGATGCACTTCTCTGCATGGGATTGAGCATCAGCCTCCAGCTCGGTGTCCCAGGTCTGAAAGGAGCTCAGCATCAGCACAGAGAGAGGGACACAGGGCTCTCCAACGTGAACAAGGCACTTACCAAGGACCTCTGGGCTCTCTGGCCACACAGTTTGCCCATTCAGGAGTAAAATTCAAATCCCCACCCAACAGAGTCATCAGGAGAGGTCAGGATGGTCAGATCCAGAACAAAGAAAACTTTGGCTTATAGGTCAAACAGGAGAAGGTCAGTGCATCAGCACGACTCTCACAACCTCACCTGGAGCACATCCAACATCATCACAGACCGTCCTCAGCTCAGCGAGGAGAAACTGTCACAGTGCTCAGGCTTCTGGCTCTGGCCCCTTGGAGTCTGCAGTCACTAGTCAGACCTCTCCCTGAATTTAGATTTTTGGTTCTTTTGGTCGTTAAGCTCCTGTTTACCAGCCCACAAAGTTTTACTTCACCTGGGCAACTCTCGAGTCAGGCAGGGAGGTCTCCTCCAAGCACAGGGTGACCCAAAGAGGAAAGGACTCCAACTATCCATGACAAACACTTGTCTTTCTCCATGATTTGCAAACAGTGAGGACAAATCATGTGGTGGAAGATAAAACATGATATCCAAATTTTAGTCAAGAGTCCATAGAAGACAAAAGGTAGCACCAGCTCCAGAGCTTGTTTGTTCTCCCACTGCAGCCACACATGATGTGGGACATGATTCGGTTTCCCTGAGCAAAACAGGGGATCCCTCACCTCCAAGGCAGCCATGCACAAGGCATGGTGAGGATTAGGAGTGGGATGGACAGCCCAAAAAACTGAAAGACCTGGGGGTCATGTTTGAAGTTGATGCAAACACAAAGCATCAGCAGGATTCCCCCTCCAGCTCCTGCAAATGGCCATGGCAACATCTCCAGCTCATGGCACCTGCTCATGGCAAGGTCTCACCTGCCCTTCCTCCTCATCACAAGGAGCTCCAGGAGGCACCCGTGAGTGAGAACTGCATCACTCTCAGACAGAGCATCAGGGGACTCAGATCACACTTAAAAACTTCCAGAAATTATCAAAGACAACTCTACAAGTTAAGGAAACTCATCTCTTTAGAGCCAATTTAGGGAACCTCCCCATTGACACCTACTTGTAACCCTACATGACAATTGCTCTGCCTCCCCTGAGGAACACCCTGATCCCTCCCAGCATTGAGATCAAGGCTTGCACCACACAAACACCCCGAGATTCCTCTGCAATAAGAGCCACTTACCAACTTCATCATAGCCCTGGCAGGAGGAGAGACCTGGGAGCGGTATCTATTATGCTCATCCAGGATTATCTTCTTTTCTTCCTCACTCAGGGACCAGCTCAGCTCCAGCACTGTGAGCACCAGGAAAACGGGGGGAAGACCCGAGCTCAGCATCGTGCAGTCGGCTTCTGCTCTTAGCAGCCCAAGGCTCTGGCAGTGAGATTTACAGCAAGGAACACCCAACAGCTTTTCGAGATTGGGGAGGAAATGTATTTATTAGAGTTTTGGACCCACGTGGGACACACCCCTGTCACGTATCGCCCTTGATGAAGAGGCACCACTGTGCCTGGTGCCAACAAATGCACAGGACAACTCCTGTCTCCAGAGACCAGAAACACCCTTCCTGGGCAGCTGTTCCAGTGCTCTGCCACCCTCCATGGAAAGAACTTCTTCCTCATGTTGAGATGAAACTTGTGTTTTAATTTATGGCCGCTGCTCCTTGCCCTGTCCCTGGGCACCACTGAAAAGAGTCTGGAACCATCCTCTTGGCACCTGCCTTTAAGATATTTACAGGCATTAATGAGACCCCCTCTCAGTCTTCTCCAGACTAACCAGGCCCAGCTCCTGCAGTGTCTCCTCACAAGAGAGATGCTCCACTTCCTCAATCATTTGGGCCTCTGCTGGGCTCTCTCCAGTAGCTCCTTGTCCTTCTTGAACTGTGAAGACCAGAACTGAACACAACACCCCAAATGTGCCTCACCAGGGCAGGATTCACCTGCCTTGACCTGCTGGCCACACTCTTCCCACTGCCCCCCAGGATCTCCTTGTCCTTCCTGGCCCCCAGGTCACACTGCTGGCTCATGATCAACTTGTCACCCACCAGGACCCTGCTCCTTCTCCACAGAGCTGCTCTCCAGTAGGTCACCCCCAACCTGTGCTGATACCTGGGGTTATCCCTCCCCAGGGATAACAGGACAGCTCTTGTTGAACCTCATTAGGTTTCTCTCCTCCCAACAACTCTCCAGCCTGTCAAGGTCCCACTGAATGGCAGCACAGTTTCTTTTTCCCAAAGTGTTTCTTATGACATTTCCCAAACAATGTTGGGAAATGTTCTGACTTCTGGTTTAAAATTACACTTCCACTTAGAAAAAAATGCCCTAAAAAAGGGTTAAATAACCTCTCAATGGCTGACATGCAACACAGAAATAAAAATCAGGAAAAGGGAAAAGGTGCATTAACACTTGTATTTAATTGCAAAAAGTAAAAACTTTTTTATTCTTCTTACATACAAATCTCATTTATTTACACACTTTACAGGCTTTTCCCAAGTATTTACAAAGTTTGCAATATATTAAATTATGACCATCCATAAAATTCTGCATTAAGTGCATATTTACATTCTTTTTTTTGAATCCACCACTAAATTTAGTGTTCAGCATTGAAAGTCTTTATGCATATATAGCTTTACTTCCCAGCACCCCTGAGCCTTTAGAATGTGGCTCCCCTCCCCAAGACAAAGAGATAATGCTAAAAATAAATCACCTGCCATTTGTTTGAATGTCCACAGCAAAGGGGAAGTCCAGCATCTCCCTTGTCTAACTCAGCAGGACACTAAATCTGCCCTTTAAGAGGAGGAGGTTCCTCAAGAGGAGAATATCGAGCTCTACCTATAAAATTTACCAAGAGGAGAAAGTCTGGTCTGCAGGAAGCAAAAGCTCTTTGTGCACCCACTGAAATGGCCTCACCCCAGGAAGTGTTTGGTTCTCTTAGAAACCATGGGGTTGAACATGGACCACCAAGCCTGGAATTGGATGGATGTGGAAAATTCCCTCCTGGAGCAGCATTACCGAGGAGAACCAGGGGGTTTCAAGGCAGGAGGATCCCTTTTCTGAGACACTGGTGTTTACAGAGCTCACATCTCTACCATGAGATGTCCTGCTCCCAACTCCTCTTGCTTGGGATGCTCCTGCTGTTGGAGCCCAGGAGGCCACAAGGGAAGGGAGGTGCTTTGATCCAGCCCAGTCTGACCAGCTTCTCCACTAGAATGTTGCAAAAACAGGACTAGAGGGAGAAGCTGAAGTCCAGAGACTCACGGGAAATCTGCCTCTAGAAAGCTCTCCAGGGCCTTGCAAAGGGAGCCTGGGGCTGGGAGCCCTGGGGGAATCAGTGTGTGCAGTGCCAGCGGGGAGGAAAAAACCAGAAAAGAAACAAAGAAAGCAAAAAAAAAAAAAAAAAAAGAATCAATAGAAACTGTCAGCCTGGCTCCCGGGGGGGCTGCTGATTTCCTGGTACTGAAGTAAATCATAATAGTCCTTTCTCCTCCTTTCAATTACCCTGAGTTCAGGACTGAGAGCAACGGTCAGTGACCCCTGCTTTGGGAAGCAGCTTTAAACCACAATCCTCCTGCCCAGCTGATGGGGCACAGCTCGTCTTTCCAGCCTGGCAAGGAGAGAGGTGACCCCTCCCCACCTCTGCCTGTGGGCAGTACCGATTTCTGGTGTGCTTTCAGAGCAGCTCTGCAGCCCCCGGGATTGTTGGGTGAGCAGGAATCCATCTCCCGGCTCAGAAAACACGAGCTCTGAAGCACAGAGGGATTTTAAAACACTGGGATGCACACATTGACTGGGCAGGGGGGGAGTGGGGGATTGTCCAAACCAGCACAGCGAGAGCCAAGGGGCAGCTGAGGCGAGGGAGACCATGGTGGGACACCCCCTCTGTGACTCATCTGGTTGTGTCTGTCACCAAGATGCTTCAATGGCTGCAGAAACAGCCCCATCCCCCCAGTTCAGCCTCAACAGGCTCTCTAGGGAAGTCCCAGCCTCCTGCAGCCTTTCCAAGGGCTCTGTAAAGCTGGAGCTCTGGATGAGAAACACGACCAGGGCTCACTTGCAGCTAAAGGTATCAAAACCTCCTTTTGGCCATCCTAGTTTTTGCCACTTTGGCCTCGCCTCCAAGTTTCCCACCTGGCTCCTCGCCTGTGGAGCCAAAGGTGTGAGCACCACTCCTCTGGCAGCTGGAGACAGGAGCTGCTCTGGAAGCTGTGCTGCAGACTGGGGCTTGGCAGCTTCAGCCAAAATCGGCTCTTTATCAGCAGGAGAACTGCCCTCCTGTTTTAGTTTAGCAGCTAATTCCTTACAGCTTTTGGAAGAGGAAGAGAAAATATACTGGAAAGCTTAAAAACAAATGATGTAAACTCCGAAGGGAGCAAGGCTGGGACATATGCAATGTATCGCCCAGACACCGAGCTGGAAACTTATGCAGAGCCCATAAAGTGCACTTGGAGAGCTGCTCTGCACACAGGCCACACTCACCAGCTCCTGTCCAACCAGCTGCAACTCTTTGAGGAGGGGAGAAGATATACGTGAGAACACTTCTGCTAAACAGGCACGAACCTGCCCTTTTCCTCCTCCTTCCCTCCCCCAACCTAAACAGCAACCGTAAATAGATCCATTTTCTCTGCCTCTTCCCCAAAGAGCCAGACAGCCACAATGGCTTAAGTGCGACTCTCGAAATCCAGGCATTTCACAGACACTTGGGAATTGTCTCCACAGCTCTTTGACAAGTTACAGTCAAGGACACTTAGCAGTGACAGCGTCACCGAACCGCCGCCATCTCAGCAAGAAAGGCTCCAGCAGCATCTCTGAGCAAGTGCTTTACAAAAACGGGTCAGGTACAAAACCAGTGAGAGGTGAAGTAACCTTGTCAGCCTTTAAATTTGATTTGAGCAGCTGCCAAAGTGTAAATAGCAACAGTCACTAACGAGGCCCTGATTCTGCCATCACCAAACTCCCAAATTTCCATTAACTAAGACCCAGGTTTTAAGAGGAGGGAGGGGGGTGGGGTGTGTGTGTGTGTGTGTCTTGGCATGTACAAGATTGCATGTAGTGTCATGAGTGTAAAATACACCCCAAGCAATGAGAATACTAATGGAAGTCTTATTAATCCAATTCTCTTTAATATTTTGCTACAAATTAGATCAGTCCTTTTCTATCCCGAGAGAGTCAGACTCTCCCCCTTTGGTTCTACTACATCTGGTGTGTGTGTTGGTCCAGCACTGAGGGTTATTAACACAGACTGACACAGGTGCTGGGGTTGTTCTCAGTGTTTTGACAGGAGAAAAACAACGGTTATGCATAGAAATGTTTGTAGTGTCAAGGCCTCAGACTAAATTCTTTGGAGCAGGAACTGTCCTTTGCCTTATCCTTGTACAGGAGCCAGACGTGGTCATCCCACTTGGCGGCTTTTGTCAGCCCCTAATAAGATTAGTACGATGTTTGCTCCCATTTTTCTCAAAAACAAAGGCTGGACAGACATTTTTCCAATCTGTCATTTCACACGTACCTAAAATATTTACAGAGAGAAAGGCTCCTGCTCCTGAGAACAGAGTTAACTCACTTGCAACCAAAACCCCTCCCAGTTCCATATTAACAAGTGTGAGAGCATGTCCTGAACCCCAGCCCTGGCCTATGAGTTCAGCCTGACACATCTGTAAATGATCTTCAGCAGCGGGATCAGACCCAGAGGATCAGACTTGGAAGGGACCCTGAACCCGAGCCTCTCTCAGGGCACTGGAGACAGCAGTGCTCCAGCAGCAGGAAACATGCAAAGGCAGCTTGGAAAGGACCCAGGAAAAACCAACCTTCACTCTGAAGACAGAGCTCCAGGTCTGGAAGGAGTTGGTATAAAAATGATGAGGGATGAGGGAGCTTCCAGGTGCTCCCGTAGGTCCCCTGGGCTGGGAATGCAGGCAGAGCCTCCAAAAACAAGGAGCTGAAACTGGCTGTGCAGCCCTTGGTGTCTCAGGTGAAACCTGAACAGAGCTGCTCTGCTCCCAGCCCCATCTCCATCCAGAACTCCTGCACTCCCAGCACCAGCACCACTAACACGTGTGTCGGTGCTTTTTGCAGGAAAGGAGGTGGAAGAGAAAAAAAGCACAGTTACTATTTGACTCACAACCTGCAGATAGAGAACCACAAGAGTGATCACAACAGAGAGGCCTGAAGAGATTCTTTTGGTACAAGAATGATACAGTGGGCAAGGGGCAGAGACCCTCAGGCTCGAGGCTCCCCCCAGCCCGGGAATACAGAGCTGGGATCAGCTTTGGGGGAGACACAGCCACAGATGTGAGGGAGAGGTGGGGTGAGGCTGGGACACATCACCAATTCATTCCCTTTATAGAACTGGCCTGACAAGACAGGCTCAAAGCTTCCTCCTCAGGAGGAATGTACACAGAAATGTCACACACCCCCTCCACTCCCAAACCCCCTCAGGAAGTTTCAGAAGTGCCATAATCCACAAAGG